ATTCCTTTTTCGTCTATTTACTGTTTTCCTCTTAACTTTTATTCCATTATTCCGTTTGTCACCGGTTCACCTTCCACTTTTTTTTGCCCCATCTACCTTTTCTCACATTTTTAATCTTTTGGGGGGAGTACGTTTTTATTCCTGACGTTCTATGGCGAGTCTTACGGATTTCGTGCTTCGCCTTAAATATAATACCTATTTTTCCCTATTTACCTTTTCCCTTTTGTTTATCTATCTGTTGTGTATTGTATAGTTTTATCTTCAAAGAGAAACACGTTGAAGTAGACTGACAGAATAAATGGGATGGTCATGATGATTCGTGTATACTTGGAGGGGAGTGGGACCATCCATCTAATAATATCTGGTTTGCTTGAGCAGTGTCATTCGTGTCACTGCATGTACGGTGTCAACACGTAGTGCTCGCCTGGCAACACATCATGTACAGTGTACACCGTACACGAGTGATGTGTGCATGTTTAGTGTACCCATGTAGTGCATATGTGGGCGAGGGGATCTTCAGCTAAGGAATTATACTTGTCTTCTCTTTCCTTGGATTGAACTTGACTGGGCGCTGTATGACCCCTACGAGTTTAGCTCTTCCCCTAATATAATACTAATATAGTTGAGTCTGTTCTCGCACCATAAGTAACAGGCATTTTGCTTTCAACGAGTTTAGGGACTGGTGCATCGGCCTCCGCCATTACGTGCTGCTGTTTATATTTGATTGAGGTTGAAGTAACCTAATCAAAAAATAATAATGAATATTATTTTATCTGTTGACGTATGTTTAGATATACATGTACTCGCTTAAACGCGATAGAAAACGAAATATGTATTAGTAAGGGTTACAGCTTTACAATGCATGTTTTATAGTCACGTGACACCGACTTGGCCTGACAGTGCCAAGTGGGACCCGCGTGACTTGGCAATGTGTGTGGCTTGACATGGGAATACTATAATACAATAACATTGATCACGTCGAATTTCTCTCTTCTGGGATTACTAATATTCTACATACCTCTCCCATATTTTTCCTCTCTTGTGCTTCGCAACTTTTAACACATTTGTTGTTAATTTCACTTCCTGTAACAAGTACTGTACATAAAAGATCTGGTATATATTTACGGTTATACTCTGATTAACATTGAATCATATAATCTTAATGTTGAAAAAACATACGATATGGGAGTATGTATAAATTGGTAGCCAGAAAATAAAGCCTGTGGATTTCGTGGACAAAATACTTGTGGCACTCACTCTCAGTGGATAACCATCACCTTAAGGAGTCTTTGAGTGTTTTAGCCTGGCAATTTCTCACATATGTTGCTGCATAAAGTTTAATTTTTTTATTAAAATATAAAAAGTTTTTATTTATATTTCCTTGTTACAAAAAAATGGCAAAAAAAATGTATGTGAAACTTCAAAGTTGTTTACTTGTTGATGTTTCCATGGTTCATTATCTACTCCGCTGCTCACTTTCAGATATGACATTTAGTCAGGTATGCCTGTAAAATTGGAAGTTGAAATCTTTTATAGGTGTAATGCTAGGTGCAAGGCTTTCTATATAGTTTGCTATTATCTTCACATCACTGTAAATTCCTTAGGCTGTCGACGGTAGTTTGTATGTGGATAATTAATTACATGGGTTTTTGTTTTTGGTTCCTAGTATTTCTAACAAATCACGTGATAATGATAGTTGTGTTCAAAAAGGGCCTTTTACTTGCATATTGTACCTATATATGGATAATGATTTTATCTTCAATTTAATCTTTGTTGCTAAAGAGAAATGGAGGTAACCTAGATATTTTTGAACATTAGATTTTATTCAATCTGGTATTATTAGAGCAAATCCGGTATATCTATCTCGTATCGGAGTGCTTCGTGATCGCACTTTTTCGGTTAGTGCTGGTAGATGCCGTCTTTTTTCAGTGTTTCAACAGTCTGGTAGTTGCTTGTTTTTAAAGGTGCTTTAGCACGCTAGTGGTTATCATAGCTATATAGAATATTTTGAATCTGTCGCATATGCGGCCCGTTTTGTCTCCAGTACCATGTATTTATCTTATATCACCTGTAGTCTTAATGTTTTTATCTGGCTTGTTCAGTTTTGTATTTTCTCTTCTGTTCTTATTTGTATCATTTTATTTCTGAGCTTGAAAACTTTTAATTTTCCGTATATTCGGTTTCATTGCGCGCGTGTTTGCTGTATGCAAATGAGTTTACTCTGGCTACGAGCTCTTATCCCACCTCAGCTCATTTTAGAGTTCAGCTGTATGTCAAGGTATACCACCTTCCTTTCCAAGGATACAACCAACAGCACTCTACTAACATCCAGATACGTAGTTATTTACTGCTAGGTAAATACCGCAGCAAATGCTAGTAGACTTGGCCATAGATTTTTTCCTTCTTGTAATCACACTTGGATCCTTTCCAATGTGAATTGAGCAGCGTACCTATTTCTTAAACCATTCAACCTTGTACGATTCCATTTTTTTATTAGTTT